CCTTGGTAGCTGTGGACAATTAGTCCTTCGGACTAATCTTTTCCTTGTATCCTGTTCTCTTCATTCTCCCTTGCTCCCGAAGGGATAAGACCAGTGGAATATCTTAGATGGCCGCTCACAGGCTTTTAAGACCCCAGACACTACTCACCAAGGTAGAATGCAGAGCATCCCAAACACAAAAACTGCTGGCTGCATGCAACCTCCTGGCCCAGACCTGTCACTGCTCCCAGGCTGCCCTGCTGGCCAGGGCCAAGCTCCCTCTGCCTCCCCTCATCCTCCCCGCACCCCCTCACCATCCGGCTCCACCTGGACCAGCTTCGAGACACACACACCAGTAGCCACCATCCCCACTTCCCCTTCCCTGCCTCTGTCTAGTGCTCTTCCAAAACCTTCTCCCTTTCGCGATGTTTGAGTTGAACCCAGCCCCCTGCCCCCATCACTTTAAGGTCAAGGCCAGAGACGGTGATATGCAGTCTCAGGAAAAGGCGGGTCTTAAGTGTTGAAGTGAACGGAACTGAAACGAGATACGGCAGTCTGTCCACCCCTCAGCCCGGTTCACATGCCCCAAAGACCCTCACCAGCCTCCACCTCCCACCCTCCAGGCTAACCTGCTCTCCCAAGGGGCCACCTTTCTAAATATACCTGCTCCTCACTTATCGTCTATCTCGTTGTTGGACACTTTACATTTACGACGACAGTAAAAAATCTACTATGCGACTGTTTTGTGCATTAATGACGTGTCTGGCAGTAAGGAATGCTGAGGTGTGAGGTGAGAGTAACGCTAGCCGTGATGGTTAAGGTTATGTGTCAACTTGGCTAGGCCACAACTGTCAGTGTTTTGGCAGTTGTGTAATAATATAGTCATCTTTCGTTTTGTGATGCGATGTGGTCATCCTCCATTTTCAGATAACGACCTGGTCTGTGGAACCTAACCATGTCGATAAGTGAGGAGTGAGGTGTATTTCATTTACTTTCTCTGTTTAGAACATTTCCCCTGCAGATGTGCAGTACAAGTGCCTCTGCTGACCCCCCTTCACCTGTGGAGAGACTCTGCCTGGTGATCACCTGCCAGCCCAGGACCCCCCCCCCGTCCCTATTGCCCTCCCTTCCCTCACCTCCTAATCCAGCCTGCTCTTTGCCCTCCATGAACTCACTCCCTCACCTCCTTTGCCCCCAACAGGAGCACAGGAACAGAGTCCACAAAAAAGGGAACAGAATGAAGCCCAAACACATGCAAAGATGGGCAACCTCCTGGCAATAAAAACCAAGCCAATTCAGAGCCCTCAGCGAAGCCATCTTTACCCACTGGTGACTGTGTCAGCTGTGAGGTCGTGGGCAGACAGGCCCTCACCTGCTACGGCAGGACAAACAGCCCCTAGGCGGACACTCCAGCAGCAGCCATGGGAGTGACACACGGATACCACCCAACCAGCCCATCCATCTGCAGGACAACGTCCTCCGTGGGCTCAGGGGCAGGATAATGCGAAGAGACTGGAAGGCACCTGTTAAGGACTGAACTGTGTCTCCCAAAAATATGTGTTGAGGTCCTAATCCCTGTACCTGTAAATAGGATTTTGTTTGGAAATAGGGTTTTCTTTTGTCATGTTAATGAGGCCATACCAGATTAGAACCTGTTGCCCTCGAGTTGATTCCAACTCATAGTGACCCCACAGGACAGAGAAGAACTGCCCCATAGGGTTTTCAAGGCTGTAAATCTATATAGAAGCAGACTGGCCCTTCCTTCTCCCTTGGAGGGTGTAATGGATTGAATTGTGTCCCCAAAAAATGTCTGTCAGCTTGGCTAAGTCATGATTATTTCCAGTGTTGCATGATTGCCTACCACTTTATCTGATGTGATTTCCCTATGTGTTATAAATGCTATCACTATGATGTAATAAGATGGATTAGCAGCAGTTATATTGATGAGGTCTACAAGATTAGGTAGTGTCTTAAGCCAAACTCTTTCGAGACATAAAAGAGAGAAGCGAGCAGAGAGACATAGGAACATCATACCACCAAGAAAGCAGTGTCAGGAGCAGAGTGTGTTCTTTGGACCTTAGGTTGCTGCGCTGAGATGCTCCCAGACCGAGGGAAGATTAATGACAAGGACCTTCCTCCAGAGCCGACAGAGACAGAAAGCCTTCCTCTGGAGCTGATGCCTTGAATTTGGACTTGTAGCCTACTGGACCGTGAGAGAATAAACTTCTCTTTGTTAAAGCCATCCGCTTGTGGTATTTCTGTTATAGCAGCACTAGATGATTAAGAGCGGCTGGTGCATTCAAACCGTCGATCTTTCGGTTAGCAGCCGAGTGCTCAACCACTGCGCCACCAGGGCTCCTTCACACCAGAGTAAGGTGAGCCCTAAACCTAATCGCTTCTGAGTGGTGTCTTCTAAAAAGAGCAGAACAGTCAGACACACACGGGGAAGGCAGGCGCCACGTGAGGACCCATCTACAAGCCAGGGAACCCCAAGGATCACTGGCAGATGCGAGAAACTAGAAAAGAAACCCCAGAAGGACTCGATGCAGCCAAGACCCTGATTTGGACTTTTTGCCTCCAAAACCGTGAGACACTAAATGTCTGTCCCTTAAAGCCACCCACGTGTGGTGTTTTTGTTACGGCAGCCCTTGGAGGCTAAGACAGCACCTGGGGTCCCTCAGCCAGCGAGGGGTTAAGTGAAAGGATGGGTATCCCACTGCGGGGTGCTGAGCAGCTCCTTCTAGCCTGACCTTGGAGAAAGAGCTCCGAGAACCACCAAGGGGCAGGAAAAAACCAGGGTGCAGCACAGCCAGTGTGGCGGGCGCCTATTTGTGCTAAAGGAAATCAGGGAAACCCTCGTACACTGCTGGTGGGAATGGAAAATGGGGCAGCCGCTGTGGAAAACAGCAGGCAGTTCCTCAAATGGTTAAACACTGAGTTACCAAATGACCCAGCAATTCCGCTCCTTGGTTTATATCCAAGAGAAATCAAAACATTTGTGCACACAGAAACCTGTACATGAATGTTCATAGCAGCATTATTCCTAACAGCCAAAAGGAGAAAACCACCCAAGTGTCCATCAACAGATGAATGGACACGCAAAATGTGGCAGGTACATACACTGGGATGTCATTCAATCAAAAAGAGAAATGAAGTCCTGATACAGGTTACCACATGGATGAACCTTGAAATACGATGCTCAGTGAAAGAAGCGAAACCCAAAAGGCTATATACATCGCATGATTCCACTGATTCGACATGTCCAGCCTAGGCCAATCCATAGAGACAGAAAGCAGATTGGTGGTCGCCAGAGGCTGGGGAACTGGGAGGTGAATGCTGATGGGTACAGGATTTCTTTTGGGGATGATGAAAAGTTTTAAAAATTGATTGTGGTGATGACTACACAACCCTGTGAATACACTAAAACCCACTGAAGTGTGCACTCTAAATGGTGAGTTGTACGGTACATGCATGACATCCCAGTAAAGCTGTCATAAAGCATCGCAGAATCCTGCTGTTGTTCCTGGATCCTGGGCTGTCCCAGGAACCTGCACAGGGGGAGGAGGAGCTGCCCCCCAGGGAAGGAGCAGGAGGGCGGGCCCTGTGTGGGACAGAATCCACCGTGCACCCCACCCTTTTGGGCCTCAATGTGGGACCAGTAAATGTGGCCTGAGTGGAGAGGGGAAGGGCAGATGCCAAGAGCTGCAGGAAGTCTTCGCAAAGGGCAGCCTGCCACCGAGAGGAGGGTTGTTCATCAATATTTCACAGTCATTAATAATTACAGCTGCCTGCATGCTAACAACGTGCAGGGTGCCGGCTAAGCACTTGTTGTGTATTATCTCATTTAGTACTCAGCATGCTAAGGGGTAGACACTACTACCATCCCCCTTTAAAACGGAGGAAACTGAGGCTCGGGCTAAAGGTTAAAATGGCCAAACAACTTGATGGGGTCTTCCTACTAGTAAGTGCCTGACCTGGTACTCCATATGGGAGCCCCAGCTCAGGGCCATTGTCCCACCATGCTGATCCTCCCGGGACAGCCCTGCCTTGGTTTCCCTCTCCGTCCCCTACTGCCTCAAGGAAGGGACCAGTCCACGCTGACCTTACCACGGCCTCCCTCAGCAGTCAAGCCCCCTTCCCCAGCTGCAAGCCAGGCGCCAGCCCCCTACCCACCAACACCACACTGCAGGCCCCAACCCCCGTCATGGACCTCACCACCTCCACGGCCCGTCACACACTGAATTGTGTCCCTCAAAAATATGTGTATCAATTTGGCTAGGCCATGATTCCCACTATTGTGTGACTGTCTACCATTTTGTCATCTGATCTGATTTTCCGATGTGTTGTAAATTCTACCTCTATGATGTTAACGAAGTGGGATAGATGGCATTATGTTCATGAGGCAGGGCTCAATCTACCAGATTGGATTGTGTCTTAAGCCAATCTCTTTTGAGATATAAAAGAGAGAAGCAGAGAGACATGGGTACCTCATACCATCAAGAAACAAGAGCCTCTTTGGACAGGGATTGGACTGGACTGTGGGACATAAAGTGATACTCGTGAAGAATGTGCCTCTTAGACAAGTAGATATAAGAGACCAAAGGGGCGGCTTCTGTCCAGAGGCGAGATGGGAGGCAGAGAGAGTTAGGAGCTGGTTGAAAGTTCATGGGGAATCAGGGTCAGAGGGGAGGAGTGTGCTGTCGCAGAATGGCGTGAGCGGTTGGGGTCTCATAACAATGTATGTTAAAAAAAAAAAAAAATTCTGTATGGGAGACTAACTTCAAATGTAAACTTCATTTAATTACATCAATTAAAAAAAAAAAGAAAGAAACAAGAGCCAGGAGAATAGCACGTCCTTTGGACTCGGGTTCCCTAAGTGGGATAGATGGCTTTATGTTAATGAGGCAGGGCTCAACCTACAAGAGTGGATTGTGTCTTAAGCCAATCTCTTTTGAGATATAAAAGAGGGAAGCAGAGAGACATGGGTACCTCTTACCAACAAGAAACAAGAGCCAGGAGAATAGCACATCCTTTGGACTCGAGTTCCCTGCGCTGAGAAGCTCCTTGACCAAGGAAGATTGATGACAAGGCCCTTCCCCCAGAGTCGACAGAGAGAGAAAGCTTTCCCCTGGAGCTGACGCCCTGAATTTGGACTTCTATCCTCCTAAACTGTGAGAATAAATTTCTCCTTGTTAAAGCCACCGACTTGAGGTATTTGTTACAGCAGCACTAGATCGCTAAGACACCCCCACCCCTGACCTGGGGCATCAGAGGTTGGCCTTCCCCTCCCCCCTCACTATCACCCTGTGTGCCCTTCCCCCACACCATCCCCCAGCCTGCTGTGTCCTGGACCTGCCCTGTCCATTCTCAGGGCCGCTCCTCCCCAGGGGAGCCAAATTGGCCCCGCCTCCAGACCACTCCCCCGTGAACCCCCAGAACAGCCAACTCTGACACTGACACCTCCTCACCCGAGTCTGTGGGCTCCCCCACACCCCCGTGCCCGCCAAACCTGGGTCTCTGCTGGCAGGTCAAGACCCCCCGTGACCCTGCAGCCCGTTCCCCTGCCCCCACCCAGACCCACATCCAGTGAGCCCTGCACCGCCTCCCCTGCCCCCACCCAGACCCACATCCAGTGAGCCCTGCACGGCCTCCCCTGCCCCTACCCAGACCCACACCCAGTGAGCCCTGCACTGCCTCCTGTGCTTCCACCCAGTAAGCCCTGTGCCCCACTGCGCTCCTAGCCCCAGGCAGGGGGTGCCTCCTGATGGGTTCTGCCTGCCCAATCTTCACAGGGATGGGAGCCCACACTGCAGGTACCCACCATACCAGGCACCCAGACCCTCTACAGTAACTCCCGTGACCTGCACAAAAGCCCACCAGCTGGGTGACTTGCCTGAGGCCTCGCAGCTGGTAAACATCTGAGCCCCAGGCTGTCCTCCTCTCCCACACCTGCCTAAGGCCCCTGCAGACATGCACAGGCTCGAACGGGGGCCTAGCGGCAGGTGGAGGCTGGGTGTCTACCTAGACAGCACTCAGAGCAAGGCAGGCACCACCGAGCGAGCCCAGGCTGGACAGACGGACGGAGTTCAGAGGCCGGAAAGCAACCATGCTGCAGCGGCCCTCGTGAAGAAGGGCCCTGCCCCCTCCCCGCCAAGATCAGGACCACGGGTGGGACTCTCGTCCCCGAGGCACCCACCAACATCCAGACTCATGGCCCCCAGCCCTCCAGGCAGGCGCCCCAGGAGCAAGACAAGGCACCGCTGTCCTTTCCAGCCTGGCTTCCCTCTGCTCCGTGCACAGCCAGCGTCAGGAGACATGTCAGGCTGGGCCGCAGCCACCCAGGCCCCGCAGCCAGAGGACAGGCAGAGCCAACCGGCGCCCTGCAGCCCAGCCCGGCCAGCAGCCCGGCCACTCAGGGAGGCCCGGGGGAGCAGGTGGGCTGAGAGGAGCACGGTAAATTATTCATCCCTGCCCAGGCCGACTAGCTCACCGTCCTGTTAGACAGCTTTAATAATGCAGGCCTGGGAGGCCCACCCACAGCCACACCCTGAGAACGCTGGCCGGGGCTCAGGGAACGCATCGGCCACCAGACTGGGTGTCCACAGCCGGCAGGGGACGGTCTGGGCCCTCGCTGGCAAGGGGGACTCAGACAGACGTGTCCACAATGCTGAGCCCAGGGGTGGTGCCTGGCCAGAGAAGGGTCACAATGAGGCCCCCGCCACTGACCCACTCATTTCCACAAGCTTCCGGAAGGCAAGGACCACGTGTGTCTGCCCCTGCCCAGCTGCAGTGCCCATCAGAGGTACCCAGTGGCTGCGTGTTGCCCAAATAAAGTGCACCCCGACTGCCCACAGGCCCAGTCGGACTCTGCGGGGCTGATGGGGGTGGTCAGTGATATGCACCCCTGATGGCAGGTGGGGGGGCCCCTGCCTCCAGACAGCCTTGCCTGCCTACCCCCACCCCATGTCAACGCTCCTGGGGTCAGGCCTGGACCCCCGCCATCGCGTTTCCAGAAGAAGTCTGCCAACCGTCCCGGAAACACTCAGGAGGGAGCAGGACCCCGGCACGGGCTAAGCCCTCGGCAAGGAAGCTGCTGTATTACCAACCAGGGCCAAGAGTCCCTGTGAGGTCTGCAGGGAGCAGGGTGCAGGCGAGGGAGTCACAATGAGGGGGCACAAACCCTGTGTCTGTCTATGTGTCTGTCTCTCTCCAGTCGGGCAGGACTAGGCCCTCCGAGGGCCATGTTTCCTTGGCAGCCAAGGAGGGAGACGGTCCCCACCCCTCGACCCCACCTGAGGGACCAGGGTGCAGAGCCGAGCTGGGACAGCCCCCCACCTTCACTCCCACTCGAGGGACCAGCCCGAGGCCAGGCGGGGTGGCACGCGCAGGGCACTCACGGGGTCCCTCAGCTCCTCGCTGTCGCGGGGCGGCGCGGTCCGAGGGACCTTCAGGGGGATCTCGTCTCCACATTCGGTGTCCGAGGCATTGGGAGACTCCGCCGGGTCGAGAAAGTCGTCTCTCTTGTGACCTCTGAACCGGATTTTGTCCAGCCTTCTTAGCATGTTCAGCACCGAGCCCCTCTGCTTCACCTTAACATGACGGTCGGGATCCCTGGAGGGGGAGAGGGTGGGCGAGGTCACACACCCACCCCCATGTGGCCCAGGCCCACCCCAGGAGCGCCAGGCCAGTGGACGCCCCCGCGCCGGCCAGCCTGGGTCTGCCAGCTGAACACCTGCCACCCGCCTCCCACCGAAGCAAGTCGCCCCACACACCCATTTGTGGATTTCCTATTTTTAATTTTTAATAGAACTTTTCTTTTTAGTGGAAAGTACACAATGAAACTGGGAATACTTGCAGCCGATATGATACATGAAGGTGAATATCTCTGCTGTAAAACAGTTTGAATAAGTTGACAAAAATTACACAGTCCCAGGCCATGAATGAGCAGACTCCACGAGCAGAAGGAATTCACAGCAAGAGGAAGTCCACCCACCACCACACAGAAAAGTCCCTGGGTGCCACAAATGGCTTAAACTCAACTGTTAACCTAACGGTTGGCGGTTCGAACCCACCCAGCAGCGTCACCTGGCAATCTAATTCCGTTAAGATCACAGCCAAGTAAGCCCTGTGGAGCAGTTCTACTCTGTAACACATGGGGCTGCCATGAGTCAAACCAACTGGATAGCAACCACCACCACCACCACCACACGCCCATCTTCAACCTCACTGGAAAGGAAGCAGGTGTTCCATCACGTTGCCAAATGTATCGAGACTCACCAACACAGTGACGCTGTTTGCAACAATGACTCACCTCTTCAGACACCATCCTAGGAACAAACACAATGTGGAGATGGCCTCATGCCTCATGCGTGAAAATGCTCAAAGACCAAACCTGGGAGAACGCCAACACCCACGGACATCCCCAGCCGAATCCTAAGAAACCACCGCACGGAACGCCGCCAACGTGGCATGACACAGGTGATTACAAAGGTGACCACATTGGCACCATTACGGAAAAGTCTAAAAACTCCGAAGGGTCACAGAGGAAATAGACAAGTGGCAAAAATACACACATGGGAAGATCTCACACTCATTAGTAATCAGGAAAATGCAGATCCAAACAACAATTAGATACTATTTTTTCATCTATAAAATTGGCACAGTCAGTCAGACTGGTAATATCCAACCTTGGGAGAACTGCCCAAAACTCTCACATGGGTGTAAATTGGCCCAGCCTTTTTGGAAGACAGGCAGTATCTATTCATGTTTTCAATGTACAAACCAGGGCTCTGGTTTGTTCTAGTTCAACCCCCTGCTGAGAATTTGCCTTTCCACCTCAGAACCTACAGTTCAACAAGAGCTCCAGGTGATTCTTAGGTATGATAAATTTTGAGAACCACTGCTCACACTAGTGGTTCTCTGAATTGGTCCCTAACCAGCAGAGTTCCCATCACCTGGGAACTTGTTAGAAATGCAAATTCTCAGCAGGGATTTGAAAGAGCTTGTTGGAAGCCCTAGTACAAACGCTTTAAAATCCACAGGTGTTGTTCCTAGAAAATGACTTGCACCTGTGAGAAAAGGCAGTCCTGAGAAATTATTTTCAGCATTATTTGTACAATTTTCCAATTGCTCAGTTTTACAAACAAAGGTTCATTGAACTGTACAATTATTTTTGTGCGTATGTAAGCGTTTCTATAGACTAGGAGTGAATTTGCTGAGTCAAAGAGGATACACTTTTCAGTGTTTATATCTACGAGCACACTGCTCTCCAGAATGCTTTTGCTAACGTGATCACCAACCAGCAGGATTTGAGAGCGTATGCTGTTCTCTTGCCAACATTAGGCGTTGTCAACTTTTACCAAACAATGAGTGAGAGGCTAATAACCTGGTGGCATGGTGGTTAAGAGCTCGGCTGCTAAACAAAAGGTTGGCAGTTTGAATCCACCAGGCGCTCCTTGGAAACTCTGTGGGGCAGTTCTACTCTGTCCTGTAGGGTCGCAATGAGTCAGAGTCGACCCAACAGCACGGGTTTGGTTTTAGTTATTAGTAGGAGTCCCTGAGGGGGTGCAAATGGTTAAGCACTTGGCTGCTAACCAAAAGGCTGGAGGTTCAAGTCCACCCAGAGGCATCTCAGAAGGCCTGGCGATCTACTTCAGAAAAATCAGCCACTGAAAACCCTATGGAGCACCATTCTGCTCTGACACACACAGTCACCAGGAGTTGAAGCCGACGCAATGACTGGTTTAGTTACTGACAAGAAGGCCACGGTAGTTCGGTAGTAGAATTCTCGCCTTCCACGCGGGAGACCCGGGTTCGGTTCCTGGCCGGTACACCTCATGTGCAGCCACCGCCCATCTGTCTGTGGAGGTTTTCTTGCTGCTATGATGCTGAACAGGTTTCAGAGGAGTTTCCAGAGTAAGATGGACTAGGAAGAAAGGTCTGGCGATCTACTTCCAAAACATCAGCCAGTGAAAACCCGATGGATCACAACGGACCAATTCCATTGTGCACGAGGTTGCCATGAGCTGAGGGCAGACTAGACGGCAGCTAACAAGAAGCTCTTAGCGCAGCTCAAAAGCTTTCAGTTCTATGCAGTTAAACCTGTAAACCTTCTCTCTTAGAACTTCTGAATTTTCTGTTTTTCCTGACCCTGTTTATTTTTAATATTGAAAAATTGGAAGCAACCTAACTGAAAAGTAGGGAAACAGTTAAACTATAATCTATCCATTAAAAAAAAAGCCCAGGACACAGGGCTCTGAGGCCTCAGAAGGATGCACTCCTTGACTTTGGGGAAAGTGCCAGAAAACGTTACTGGCTGAAACGAAGCCAAACGATCAACTGAAGACGGGTGCGCTTGGCCAGGCTTAGACAGCGACTTCAGGGGTGGTTCGTCCACACGAAGCCAATGAGGCTGCATCACAGGTTCAGATTACACGCTGGCATCTGAAAGGCCCCGAGAAGTCCTACGGTTAAAAATCAGCAATGAGCATCTGCCTACTTCTCTTAAACCAGCATTTTCTAAAACATTTAATCATGGGATCTTTTTAAATATAAAGCAGAAGTTGCATGCTAACTAATTTGCAGAATAGAAAAAAAAAAAAAACACTCCAAAGCGTAATCGAGGAGATAGCATTAGGCTTGTAGGTCGTTTTAAAAAATTCTCTCCCCAAATTTTCTATAATGCTTTCCTATTGCTTTTTTGATTAAAAATAAAAACAAGCAGGGCCGGGGAAATGTAACAACGTCCGACCTACTTACTTTTGTTTCCAAGAGACCAAGCGCGAGTCCTCCTCGCTGAACGCCCCAAGGGAGGAGGGGAGGTCAGAAGAAGGCAGCCGGGCACCGGGGTTCCTAATCCCACAGCAGACGGTGCCCGACTTTAACCGGGAGGAAAGCGGTGACAGTTCTCTCCTCAGTGAGCCACGCCCCAAGAACGGCCGGTGCCACAGGGCTCTGTGTCAGAGGCTCCTCACTTTCTGGAGTTCTCGCCTTCCCTGTGGCAGGGGCAGCCTCCCGGCCTCAGCTCTGGCCGGCAAATGAGTGGCCGCGCAGGGACAAAGGAGCGAGTGCCGCCCTGCCCGGCCATCAACATGCAGCACGCCCCCCTCCTGGCCTCCGTGTGGGCCGTGCCTGCAGCCACCAACCTCAACCCCGGGGCCTCTTGCCCTGCTACCCACATCGGCCCTCGGGAAGGGCGAGGCGCCAAGGGCATCCAAAGATACTGCCCAGCCCAGCAGGGGGGGTCCCACAGGCCCACCCCCGTGCCCACCACCCTCCTTATCCCAGAACCGGAACAACTGTTGGTACTGCTGTTGGAGAGGGACCGGAGCACAGCGTCACCCCAACCCCCTTCACCCCGGGATACGGCTACGCTGTGCGTCCTCCTGGCCCAGCACACACGACACTCCTTCACGTAGGTGCCCCCACTCACAGATGAGGACCACGAGGCCAAGAGCATCTGTGCCTGAGACCTTGTCTTGAGGTGGGAAAAGGCAAGGCTGGTCTCCAATCCAAGGCTGAGCCAGGCATGGGGGCTTTTCCCACTGGACCACAGACCTGACATCCGGGGTGCCCTCCTGCCCAGGCCTTCCCTGTCCCTCCCTTCCGCTGCTGCTTCTCCCACCCTCCCTTCACCCGACCACCCCCTCCCAGCTACCTATCCCTCGCCCCACCACTCATAAGGAGGGAGCCCCAACTCCTGAGCCTGTGGTCCCAGACGCTCTCTGCAGACCCAGCCCCTGCAGCTGACCCCATCTCCTCCACGTGCACCTCCACGCCCAAGTGCTGGGCAACGCACAGCTTCCAGAAACTTCCTGCACACCCGCCTCCAGTGGCGCAGGTCACCCTCTAAGACCAGCCTCCCTTCTATCTCCTGCCCAGCCTTGCACGGCCGTGGCCACACTCACAGTCCTTTCTCACAGACAACCAGCTCCTTCGTCCTCAAGTCCCCACAGCACTGTCTGGTCCCCAGGCGGCCTTCTTCCCCTCCTCCAGAACCTTCCCCAGGCCGCATGGTGTTCTGCACCATTGGATCTGGGGCCAGGTAAGAGCAGGCTGGCAGCTAACTGACCATCGGCATGCTACCACTGCCCTTCCACAGGGGTACCCAGATGGGCTCCAGAGGACCCCAGCCCTTGGGACAGCTATGGCATCTGCTTGGGGCAGGGCCTGCGTCCCCCTAATCCCCACCACCCTCGTACCTCCATCTGGAAGCGGACGCGCTGGGGAAGGGTCCTCGGCTACAGCTACTTCAGGTCCCCCACTCTCCGGAACCAGAAAGGAACTGGTACCGTGCACCACAGAGCGGGTTTGACACAGGAGCACCCGGCCCCTGGGAAGCAGGGCCCAGCAACTCGGGCCTCTGCCAGCAGGCCTGCGTCCGCCCCACAAGCACCAGGACACGGCACGCCACTCTGAAACCACTGACCGGCTTCTGGACACAAAGGACGCAGTGTCTGGGGAATGCTGGGCTTGGAGACAGCAAGGACTTCACTTCTCCCTCCCGGCCCAAGATTTAAAAAGAAGTGGTTCCTGGCCTCGGGCGCTGGGCCAAGAACCCCAGACACCTGCTCAGTACCACCCCCTGACTGCGCGGCGCACGCCA